CCCGCAAACCCCTCCTCCGCCTCCTCCATCGACGCCGCCGCCTCCTCCGCCTTCGCCGCCGCGGCTCCCCTCCTGCCCCACCTCCTCTCCCCCTCCGCCTCCTCATCCCCCTCCCCCTCCCCGTCCGCCCCCGCGTCCTGCCCCGCCGCAGTCTCCGTGCCCCGCGACCGGCTCGCCAGCACCCCGGTGGCCGTCGAGCTGCCGTGCGGGATGGCCGTTGGCTCGCGGGTGACCGTGGTGGCCCGGCCGAGGAGGAGGGAGGGGGCGGCGTCGTCGCAGTTCATGGTGGAGCTGCTGGGCACCAAGGCCGTGCAGGGGGAGGAGCCGCCCAGGATACTGCACTTCAACCCCAGGCTCGCCGGGGACTTCACCGGCCGCCCCGTCATCGAGCTCAACACCTGCTACCGCATGCAGTGGGCGCTGCCGCAGCGCTGCGAGGGCCCGGCGTCGCGGCCCGACGACGACAGAGGTGAGCTCCGTCGATTGCAGACTCTAAATTCTACTTTTCTCCCATCGTACGCTAGGAAATTGAATACGCTCCTTCGATTGCAGAGTAGTACTATTCAATTTGGAATCTTATTTGTTCGTTAAAACAAAAACAATTTGCATCACTGAATTTGCTTGATGTCGCTGTGAATCATAACATGCTGGTTTTAATCTTTCAGTTGATGGCGAAATCAAGTGTGAGGAATGGACTCGGGACGATGGCGCTAAGACAGAGGAATCGTCAAACATAAAATGGCTGCTCAACACTTTGATCGGCAAACCGGAGCCAGACAAGGTGTCTGTCCAACAGGCGTACCCGTTTGCAGAGGGCAAGCTCTTTGTCCTAACCATCACAGCCGGTCTCGAAGGCTACCATGTCAATGTCGACGGGCAACATGTTGCATCCTTCCCTTACCGCACTGTAAGATTTTTGCCATGCCTCTGCAGAGATTGCTCGTCGGTTACTTACATAATACTGTATATCAAGGATGGAGAACTTGTTATCTGATGATGCGCTGTCAATCTGTTGATTTAACTAACAGGGTTACAACCTCGAGGACGCGACGGGCCTGTCGTTGAACGGGGACCTTGACATCGAGTCGATTTCTGCAGCCCATCTGCCCAAATCACACCCTAGCTTCGACCCACAGCGATACCTCGAAATGTCTGAACAGTGGAAGGCCTCGCCTCTGCCGACTGAACCTGTCGAGCTGTTCATCGGCATCCTTTCTGCAGCCAACCATTTCGCCGAGCGGATGGCCGTTCGCAAGTCATGGATGATTGCCACAAGGAGATCGTCTAACAGTGTTGCCCGGTTCTTCGTCGCTCTGGTAAGCACCTGTGGATGATTGATTGCTACACCTTAACAGTTATATTGCTGACTTGTGCAAACTCTAATAGAAGACTTGTTTACAGAATGGGAAAAAAGAGGTCAACGAGGAGCTGAAGAAGGAGGCTGAGTTCTTTGGTGACATTGTTCTGGTCCCTTTCATGGATAGCTATGACCTCGTTGTTTTAAAGACTATTGCCATTGCTGAGTATGGGGTAAGAAAAACTAGTGTTCTTGGATCATGCTTCAGCTCCATCGACAAAAATGCTCATTCTGACTTTTTCTATTTTATAGGTGCGAGTTGTGCAAGCGAAATACGTAATGAAGTGTGACGACGACACATTTGTTAGAATTGACGCGGTGTTGGATCAAGTGAAGTAAAGAATGGGGGGAGCATGTATGTGGGAAACATAAACTATTACCACAGACCTTTGCGATCTGGAAAGTGGGCTGTAACGTATGAGGTATGATACGATGCAGCTTCCTTTGCAATTACTTGTAGCATGCTTTTCCTTTTAATAAAAAAACTGAAAAGTCCTTGTGTGTTGGGCACTTGGGCCATGCAAATTCCTTCATTGGTGTGACTTGACCTCCATTATTCAGCATATTAATGCTTTACGGGTCATATCTGTTAGTTCCCCTGTCCAGTCTCATGTTTTAGTAGTACTCTGTTTAGTGCGTTCATGCTAGCCTCTGCCTTTCCTAAAGCAAGCATGGGTTTTACTCGAGCTGGAACAATGATTATGATTGCAAATTTAATGATCAGTCTTCTAAACACAGGGTGTTGTGTTTATCATGCCTACTAGTGGTATTAAAGTATCATATTTATTTTAGAAAAAAACAGAGTATCATCTTCCTGGCAAAGTTCTGGCACTGGTAGTGATATATTTTACCCTGCATACATGAGTGTGATGTAAATTTCCTGCCCCTTTTTCAGGAATGGGAAGAGGAAGTATACCCACCTTACGCAAACGGGCCGGGCTATGTGATTTCATCAGACATCGCTGAGTACATCGTATCCGAGTTTGACAACCAGAAACTGAGAGTAAGTCATTACCACCATCCTTGTCAGTAAGCAAGTAAAAATCGAAGCATTTGTGTCTGTGTGTCTAAAGGCTAACAAACTGCTGTGCTTCCCCTGATTGTTGCAGCTGTTCAAGATGGAAGACGTGAGCATGGGCATGTGGGTTCAGAAGTTCAGCAAGACTCGCCAGCCAGTGGAGTATTCGCACGACGTCAAGTTCTTCCAGGCCGGCTGCTTCGACGGCTACTACACCGCGCACTACCAGTCGCCGCAGCACATGATCTGCCTCTGGAGGAAGCTGCAGTCCGGGAGCGCTCAATGCTGCAACGCCAGATGACAATGAGACTGCCTGGTAATTGAAAAGCGGCACCCGGCTCTCTGGAGAACCAAACAGCAAGGATGAGTTCGAGTTTGATCTTGATTTGGAGGCTCTCTGGAGAATTAGCTTGCGTAATTCGCTCATTCTTTTGATCAGTGGCTGGTTAATTCAGCTACTGATTCTGACACTAGCTAGATGCTGACACCAAATACATGTGTCAATTGTTTTTGACCTAGGAACTAACAGCTCTGCTGATCTCACTTGTATACCGGCTGTTCTTATATATACACATTAGATGTTTCGAGTAAATCATTTCGTGTGTTCAGAGCTGCTCCTGTGCATTGTCGATTCCACCTGCAAGTCTGATTGTTCAAATGTGCTCGTGCCACTATTCTCAACAACATCACAAACTGACTGAACTTAGAAATCTTTACAAATTGCGAGCACGGAAGCAACAACCTCTTAAACAGAGTTCCTACATACTGCAAGCATTGAAAGCAACGACTTCCAAACAAAGTTCCTACAAACTGCAAGCACAGAAGCAAAAAAAAGGGCAACCTGGTGCATGTAGCTCCCGCTTGCGCAGGGTCCAGGGAAGGGTCCGACCACTTTGGGTCTATAGTACGCAGCCTTTCCCTACATTTCTGTAAGAGGCTGTTTCCAGGACTTGAACCCATGACCTCATGGTCACAAAGCACAGAAGCAAAGGTAGTTCAAAATGAAGCACAGAGGCAAAGCTCATCCCGCATAAGCCCGCAAAAAACAGGAGGTTAGTTCAAAATGAACTAAATCTGAGCATGGTGATTACAACTAACCTGATCAGTTTTGACTACGGAACAGCTTCCTAAACGAAGTTCCATACACCAATACTAAGACCGGCAGCATTGGTCCTACCTTAACACGGCCTATACAAAGTTACTACAGAACAACTACTTCCTACAGATCCAGAGCCACACTCACTTGATCCAGATGCACCAGCAACTAGAGCTTGGCAAACACTTGAACACCAGCTCACTGCCCCTGGCCCGTAGAAGCTGCTTCCATTGCTGCAGAAATGAGAGAAACTGGAATGTAAAATCAATCAATTGGTGAATCATGTTCAGCTCAATGTACATTTTGCTTATCACCAATCAGAAGGACCGACAAGTTCCTCAAAAAAACAGGCGCTCATAGAATCATTAAGATATATGGACTTGTACTCAAGAGGAACACCTCTCTTTCTTTAGCACATATGTTCAGCTCAATGTGTAAAGTTTCTTGCTAAGAACCATATTTTCATGCCATGTTGCTAAGTGCCACTGACAGATTGTACAAGGTTATATATATGGGCATAAGCAATAGTACCTGGGAGGTAGAAGCTCATGTAGGGAAAGATAATTTTGCCCGGACGAGACACCTTCCTGACTTGTCGAGACTTGAGATCGACCATGTAGGAACCAGCATATGTGCTCACAAATATGACTTGGGTACCCTCCGCAATGCCAATAATCCCAGCTTTAGGTGCTGGGATAACCTTTGTGATGCTCCAAATCCCATCTTCAGGTGCTCGGATCAAGAAGGATCCATCAGGGAGCAGCGCCTTAAGATCAATTACCCTGAGTTTCGCCCATCCAGTGGCTCCCTCGGGTCCGGTCTCCATTGACCAAAGGGTTAGATTTGCGACATCCACCACGGCAGCAAATCCCAGCGTGCCGTCTTCCGCCGTCATGAGACACCCCTTGCCGTCGATCGGCTTCTTGAACATTGATATGCGGAGTGTACCAAGTTGGCACTCCACAATGTAACCCATGTTGAAGTAGAGCGCCTCGCCCACAAGGACACTAGCCTCACTAAATGTTTGAAGCAAAGCATTTGAGTGGTGAGCATTTGAGTGGTGAAGAGAGGTGAACTTACTCCACTCGGCAGTCTCAGATGAGTACAGCCAGGCCGATATGGTTCCGACCTGGTCGGTGGACACAAAGGCCAGATGGAAATGCCCTCCCTGGCAACCGTGGTGGTCGCAGCCTTGCGCGGCACAGAGCACCGCCGCACCGACGGTGACCGGATAGTGATAGGACGAGGTCACCCTGTGCTGGTGGCCCGTCACAGGGTCCAAGACGACGAGTTCAAGGGTGATCCCGAGGTGGGCGAAGAGGGCGCGGCCATGGCGGCAGTCCATGGCAACCCAGCTGGGGAGGCCGGGGTGGGCAGGGACGAGGGCGGAGGCGGGGACGAAGCGGCCGCCCTGCTGGAAGAGTCCCAGGATGGGAGGTGTTCCGTGGAACTCGCGGTAGCGGCGGCGGAAGCGCGGGCCGGCGAGGATGATGCGCCAGGGCTTGCAGACGGCGGAGGCGCGGAAGAGCGAGGCGGGATCGTCCGGCGGGAGGCGGAGGAGGACCTCCTCCACGAGCTCGTCCATCAGCACCGGCGGCGGCGGAGGCGAGGGTTTCGGGTGGGGAAAAGTGGGGAGCTCGAGTTCGTGTTGCCGCACGTGTGCGCGCTTGCGGAGCTGCTAAGAAAAAAAAAACGGAATTGATAACTCCCGAACGGGCTGCGTTTTGTTGTTTCGGTCCGAACGTCCTTTCCACTCCTGGATTTGATTACGCATCTTAAAGCAGGGGACCAGAGCCACGTCAGCGATCGATATCATTAGGAGAAAACAGAAGTCGTCCCGAACGAACTAGATGCTCGCACCACTCATCCCCTTCTCTGTCCCATCGCTCTCCATTCCCATCCCACCGTCTCCCATCCGCTCCACGACCCCAGCTCCCCATCGCGGCACCGCCGTCCCAAGCTCGTCGGCGCCGCCGTATCCTATCCTCGTCTCCTCGCCATCGCGCGCGTTTGCCGCCGTGCCGCAACATCGGCGGCCACATCGTCGGGACTCCGCCTGGTCAACTCTGGTTGGCAGGTGGTGGCGCGTCCGTACCCGGGGAGGTGGTGGTGGGGGCGCAGCTATTTGTGAGCAGCAGGAGTGGTCGTGGTGGCCAGGGCCGGATCGTGGCCGGGGAGAAGAGCACCGCACTGAGGAGGCGCCGGCGTCGACGGCAGGGCGCGGAGGCGCACCTCGATTCAGGAGAAGCGCGCGCAGGAGGCGAGGTTGTCGCTTGTCCGGCGAGAGCCGACGCAGGCGGCGGCGGCGAGCGCGTTGTCGGCCGCGTCGGGGACGGGATGCCCCCTCCCCCTCCCGCTTGCTCAAGTCGCAGCGCATCGAGCTCGAAATGGTTGCGACCTTGCTGGCTAGGCAGGGCTGCGGGGTGGTGCAAGCCAGGGAGAGGGCTGGGCTCGCCATCGATTTTGCCTACCTCGCTCTACAGGACACCGATTTTTAGCAGTGTCATGGGCGCCAGTCAGAGACAATTCATCAGTAACCCCTGATTCTCACCCTCTAGCATTTTTTCCCTCTCAATGTTTTCCGTGATGCATCAGCACTCCCTACTCTCCTTGATACTACATTTTCTGGCTGAAACTAGTTGCCATGTTGTCATAATTTGCAATCAGAATATGTTGCTTCTTTTAGCAGCAAACAAAACTGACCAAACTAGTTGTGTTTGTGGCATGTGCGTCTCCGTGTTTTTGTTAGATGCATCATTTTTTTTCCGTGCAAACTTCTGAACTTGTTAGTTTGTTTGTTACACGACATAAGTAAGAGATAAACGCTACAAAAGCATGGCATTTTTTTACTAAAATGTTGTGGCAATTATTAGAAAAATCATATGGCAAATTTCAGAAATTCACAAGTTTATCAAAAATACTTTTATTCACACGACAAATTTTAGTTTAAGTTGCCATGGCAACTTTTAGTTTAAGATACCTTGGCAAATTTATTGTAAAGAGCATGGCAAGTTTTTGTTTTAAATATGATGGCAAATTTACATTTTTCAGAACAAGGCAATTTTAACTATGTAGCATAGTACATATATTTGTATAGCCATGGCATTTTTCAATTTATTTCCATGACAAAACTACTCCCCTTTTGCCATGGCAAAAATCAACCCATTTTTGCCATGGCAAATTTTTACTCCATTTTTGGCATGGCAAGTTTAACTCCATTTTTGTCATGTCAAAAATATGTTTATTTTCACAAGGAATTTTTTTGGTTAAGTCGCCATGGCAATTTTTAGTTAAAGTTGCCATTGCAAATTTATTGTAGAGAGCATGTCAATCTTAATTCAAATATTATGGCAAATTTAAATTTATAGAACATGCCAAATTTTACTATGTAGCATCTTAAATATACTTGTGTGGCCATGTCAATTTTTAATTTATTTCCTTGGAAAAAACTACTACTTTTTGCCATGGCAAAAAATTAAACTATTTTTGCCACGGCAAATTTTTACTCCCTTTTTGCCATGGCAAATTTAACTCCATTTTATGCCATGGCAAACTTCTTTAATTAACATGTTGAAAAACATGTAAACTTGTCATGGCAAAGTTATAGTTGTTGAAAAACATGGCAAACTTTGCCATGGCAACTTACGATGTTAAAAAACATGGCAACCTTTTTCTAGATGTTCAAAAATATGAATAATATACCATGGCATTTTAAAATCTTCAAAAACATGGCAAACTTGCCAACTTGCCATGGCAAACTTTAGTATGTGCCAAAACATGGTAACTTTTCTTAGAAAGTTTTTCTGGGTTTTTTTTTTCGTATTTCAGTATCTAAATGGGGCTGTTTTTCTTATGTCTCTCGTGCAACAGGCCCACACTGGCGTCTTTGTTAGGCTTCTTGTTGCATTCGTGATAAGTGATGATTTTCTAGAAGTGTTCGGGCTGAGAGAGCTCCTGGCCGAACGAAATCGTTCGGTCGTTCCCCCTGTCCAGCGCGAACGATTCGTTTGGGGCGACCCCTCCCCATGGCAAATATAGTTATTGGGTCATGACATTTTTCTCTACATGAACATATACATGGCATTTTTCCTAACAAAAAGCATGACAAGACCATGCTAATTTATAGCATACATCTTTCATGGCAAATTTTGTTCATAACTTGTGTTTGCTTTACATACATGATTTTTTTCTCATATAGAACATGGCAAATTTAATTAAAATACCATGGCCATTTTTGATATGAATTCGCCATGGCAATCATTTTTATTCATAATTTGTGTTTGCTTTACAAATATGGCATTTTTCTCATATAGAACATAAAAAATTCAATTAAAATAGCATGGCAAGTTTTGATATGAATTTGCCATGGCAATTTTGTTCATAAGTTGAGTTTTACTTTTTCGTACATGACATTTTTTCCAATACAAAACATGGCAATTTTTTATTAATTACCATGGCAATTTTTGATATGAATTTGCCATGGCAATTTTGTGTACATAATTTGTGTTTGCTTTACAAATATGGCACTTTTCATGGTAAAAAAAGATGGCATTTTTCTCAAACAGAACATGGCAAATTTAATTAAAATAGCATGGCAAGTTTTTGACATGAATTTTCCATGGCAATTTTGTTCATAAGTTGAGTCTTACTTTACATACATGACATTTTTCTCATATAGAACATAGCAAATTTAATTGAAATACCATGGCTATTTTCGATATGAATTCGCCATGGCAATCATTTTTATTCATAATTTGTGTTTGCTTTTACAAAGATGGCATTTTTCTCATATAGAACATGGCAAATTCAATTAAATTAGCATGGCAAGTTTTGATATGAATTTGCCATTGCAATTTTGTTGTTTTACTTCTTCGTACATGACATTTTTTCCATATTAAATATGGCAATTTTTTTTATGAATCTGTCATGGCAAGTTTCTTGTCCATACTTTTCTGCTTCAACTATTCATTCTACATATGAACATGGCAACTAAAATTCATATGTTCCATTTGGTTGTTTGTATTTTGTGCATTCTATTTTTTTTTCCTGGTAATTTTTGCCATGTCATATTTCTGAACATAACTTTTTCCTTGGCAATTTTTTATTTTTTGCCATGCTGTATTAGAAATCTTTTTTGTTGTAAACCTTGCCATTGTAAAAATAATAATATCATGCCAAATTATGAAATAGTTTGATCAAACTCGAATGGCAATTTTTTGGAATTTTTATGTGTTATATAAGTATCATGTTTTAGTAAAAACAAATTGAGGGGTATTATTTTAGTAAATGGCTGTAATATAGTCACGTGGGCAATTTTTCCTTCTAGTCCTTTTTATGCCTTTTCAGCCTTTATAAAGTCCTTCTACTTGTGCTCACATATGGGCCTATTTTTGGCCCATATTTCCTTTTCCTTAGCGCTAAGTTTTCTCGAACGGGTAGTTCGGGCTGGGAGGTTCTCCAGATGGAACGAAATCGTTCGGTCGGTACCTAGTCGCCCGCCGAACAATACGTTCGGGCACATGGTTCTCGAGAACGAACGTTCGGCCGTTATTGACGTCCAAAAAAAATGGCGCATTGGAGAAATATGAGCTCGTGCTCGTTCCTTCGTGTGCTCTCGTTTTGAACAGTGTAATAAGATTGTAAAGATAAATAAACAAACTGATTTATTTTTTAATAAAAAATAGTGTCTTTTTGCGAATAAAAAAATGGTGTCTTTTAGTATTACCTGCTTATAAAGTTTCATTAGAAAAAACTATGTTTTGCCCTTAGAACCAATGTTTTGCTCACCCGCATTTCTGGACCCTCCACATATTCACTTCCATCGAGCCATATGTGGCGAGACTAGGATGCTTTGCACAACAACCTAATTGGTTGCAAATGTCTAGACCACACGGTCCGGACATTTTTAGCCATTCAACGTGACTATAAAAAATGTTCAGACTAGTCCGGTCGTAAAAAATCTTTTAAAATGGTATCAAAATAGGGGAGATTTGGGAGTTCAAACGTCAGTCACGTCGTACATTGACACCACCCACCCACCCAAAACCCCTGCCCTTGCCGTGTCCACTCACTCTAGAACCCTCTCTTTGTGTTGTATTCAATCCGGTTAGAGCGAACATGACCGGACGACGACCTACCTGCATTCATACCAGCTGACTGGTTGTTCCCTCTACCGGCATTCACACCAAGCACGGTGACCGAGAAACCTACTACGCTACATTGAAACTTCGTCGGGCCTGCCCCCACTATTAAAGTCGGTCAACCTCGGACACAAACCCTACACTTATTCACTCCTCTCCCAAAGTTGCCGTATGTCGAAAACACCTCTGCCACGATGGGCAAGAAGTCTGGCACAGAGAAGACCAAGGTGTGGTGGCTGCTAGGGACCTACCGCTTCGACCAGCCGCCACCGCGCCAGGGGACCGGCTCCGTGGGACGGGGGAGCTTTGGGTCTAGTTTGCACCGTCGCCCGCGGTCGTTGGGAGGCGCCTTGTCGTCCACAGCACCGACCACCTCCGGTCGTCCACGGCACAAATCTTCTCAGACAAGGAGGAGGAGCAAAAGCCGCCCCTACTCGTTGCAGCC